AGGCACATCTGAACGCAAAATCACTACATATGAAGAAGAAATCAGCACCAATGTGTCTCTAATGTGTTAATGAGTCTACAATTTATCTCCACATTACATCAAATTAAAGCAGTTCTGAAGACAGTTCTGAAGTTCTTAAGAGAGCTTAGCACTTTCTTTTCCATGTGATTATTCTTGTGAGTTTTTTTAATTATTTTTTTTAAGGCTCAATAATATACAACGGTGGGATAAAAACCTTTCCTGGACTGGCAGTGTACAGTTTATCTAAGCCTATTTGTTGGAAATGAGTGAATTCACTTATATAATGGACTATACGATCATAATAACAAATGTATCCTTTAGTAAAGTTTTAAATGACGTTGGTTTAACCTCTTCCACCTCTCCCTACCACAGATCCATTATTGTATTTTTCTAGGAGGGGGCAGGGGATCTTAAGTGTTAGATAGCCAGTATATGCCACATAAAAGTAGTATACATCATCTAAAAGTTGGGAACCTGGAGATTCAGTGCTGTGCTGTGTCAGGTTTTTCTAGTCATAAATCTGTAATATCATTGTGTTTTTGTTAGGTGCATATTCCAATTTTTAAAGTTTAAAGGGCTTAGAACATTACGACAGACAATTATGTCTCATAAATTGTTATAGCAATTTTTTGGTTGATACCATTTGTTACACAGATGTGGTGCAAAATGGTTAAAATCCCTCCAATATACCATATTAAGAGACCTTGAGGAACATCATAATAAAAATCAAGTAATTTTTGTATTTTTCAGTGGTTGGATGTTGAGTTCTGGAAATTGCTCAGAAACCCCCTTATTATCAATATACCCATGAATGCCCTAGGTTTTTAGGTTGTAGCTGTAAAGTCTCATCATGCTGTGACGCCCCAGAGCTCACAATATAGGGATTTTTAGAATAGGTGAAAATAACACATTTATACTGCATGTAAAAAACAGGTAAGGCATAGTTGTTGCCCAAATAATAAAAACTGCATGGGATTAGCATAAACTGGGCACGTCTGTAAAGGGGAGACTTGTGGGTACCCAGACTGTTTTCATTCAGACATCTTGAGGTGAGAGGTCAAAGGATCTGCCAGTTCTCCCCCCACCAAAATGTTAGGTAGTTCTTATCATGCTGATGTATATTCAAGTGTTCATTATTCTGATCAGTTATATTTAGTTATTTGAAGCTATGAAAAGGGGGTTTCATGTCATGATTGACAGCTGAGCCCTGCTTGCAGTTGAGTCGGTTGGGTGTATGGGCAGGACTTTGATAGTGTGGCGCCAACCCTGATCCCTACTGCACATACTCTGGCTCAGAGTGGCGAAAGATGGTAGCGACCGTATATGGGATATTTTGGCTCGATTTTTGTACAGTGGGAGGAAGTGGAGATGCAATGTCCATTTTTTATACGTCGATGGTTTGTACCAAGACAGTAATGTCTGCCAAGGAAGTAGGAGTCCTAGTGGAGTTTAAGAGATTAATGACAGAGCTGCACAATTTAGATAACATTAGACTAATTCCTCTCACTCAGACTTAAGAACATGATTCTAAGGAAAAGTAAAACAAAACTGGTTTATAATGCCTGTGTTTTGATGCAGATAGAAATAAAATGTCTACAATAACTGCAAATATCAACTGTCATAAATATTCATTTGTGCTTAAATGTTTACAACATGAAGCATTAACTTTCAAATGTCTGCTCCCCAGTTATACCCAGTACTATATCATATGACATGGGTGCCTAATCAGCCCATCAAAGAAGAACAGGGTTATTTTTATTAGGAGATATTTCTTTAATATGCAATCACAGACCAGCACTGCCACTAATGCTTTGGCCTTTGGTTTGTTTTGGGATTATTCTAAACCGTTTAGTGAAATGGTGTGTGACCACTGTAATGATACTGTCTTTTCAGCCCTAAGCCTCATGCAAGTTACCACATGGAAACCGTTTTTCTGTCACATCCACTGCCTAAGCTTAACTTTGGCATATGACAGTCAACTCAGTCCTTTAATTTTTTTCAAGCAAATAAATTAGATTTTTGCTACCAAACAGCAGTAATCCCCAATAACCCTGGACCTAATGTAAATATAATAGCCCACACTAACATGCATGAGATCGACACTTAAGGGACATATTAATTAATTGCCTTAAATTACCTCAAGCCAAAAGCTGTGCAATGTGTCTACATCATTTATCCTGAGCCTGCTATTTATGTTTTCATCATCAATGTGCAATATCTCCCCTAACAGATTATATAATTACAGAACATAAGAGAACAGTACCAGCCTTACAAACATCTAGTTTGGTACCAGTAAAGATTCAGCCTCAGCCACCGGCCACAGCAGTGTGACCTTCAAGCCCGGCTGTTGTTATTTTCCATAGAGGTCAGCAGCTAAGAATGTGAAGCATGCAGAGCCTGAAACATGCCTTTCTCTTCCCAACAACCCCCACCACTTTTTTTTGTAAATCATTTTTGCCACTTCTCCAATACAGTACCACCATTTATGTTTGTTTAAAATAAATGTACAGTTCAAAGCATACTCTAAAGTAACTCCATCATCCCATATGTCCCTTTCTTATCTGCTTCTGGGCCTGCCCCACACTTTCCTAGGTTTATAGCCCAAGGCATTGTGAGCACGATCACTAAATATGGTGCCATAATGACGTTGGTCAGTATTTCCAAGAGCAGTAATCATCGGAGAGACCTGTGAAAAAATAGGAGAGCTATTTTAATCTGTTTCCCTGCAGGATATCCTTGGACAGCATGTAGACTTTCAAACTCCTAACTCATAACAAATGTTAACTGGAGTTGATGGTCAGGCCGAAGCAGTGTGCCTAACCTTATGGCTTTATTTTAACCTTGTTAAACTGTTCTTATATGAAACTAAGGATTGCAGTATGAATGTCATGTAGCTACTACAACCTGTAGAAAGTATACCAGAAATCCATCTGCATGTACCAGATATCACAACATGAGTTGACACAGAGCCAACAAAGCCAACAATTGAGTGGGAAAGTTAGTTAGTTATGTACAGAATCAATTCAATAATTGATCATGAATAACTTTAATGTAAAGATCCCCTGCAGACATGTAGTAAGACATATACAAATGCACAGTTCCAAGCAGAATATTTGTACATATACAGTACAAATACTCTGCTTGGAACAATGTGTGTCTGATATGTTTTGCCTGCCTGTCCTGCCTGCCAATGCTCGTAGGCCCAACCCCTTAAAAATAAGATCTTAAATGAGCACAGAGAAACTTTCCACTTTCAGCAGATGAATGTGAAAACATCCTTTTAGTGTCAAACTCTGCACGTACATCATTCTGCATAGTGAGGCTCAAACATCCAACAGTAGGATAAAGAAGAAAAACATATTTTTGACTGGAGGGGGACTTTAATCATTCTGTTAAATCTATGCAGCAGAAGTTAGGGATTGCTTGGAGCAGAAAATCGAACATGTAGTTAGTTAAAGACCCAGATACTGTTCTCAGGAGTTACTGAGACAACAACACGACTAAAAAAAGACAGTAAATATTGCTGTGAAGAGTTACACACAGCAAGACTCATGACTCCAAATTAATGGTGCACCATGTCATTTAGCTTGTTTTGTGGTTTTCTGCCCACTAGTGGCTAAAATGGTTTAATAGAGCTTTAAGGTTATTTATCAAGTGTAGCCCTTTTATTTAAACCTTTCCTTTACATCTTGTGGAAGAAATAAAATCCAAATGATGAACGGAAGGCTATTATAACTAAAGATAACTAATTATGAGTTAAAGGACATTTTGTTGTCTGGTTGTAAAATAGAGGAGAGGTCTTCACAGATCCACTTGGTGCCTAGTAGTTGAATCAAATTAGGTCAGGGTAGGGTTTTGATCTCTTGCCGTGTGTTTTGTTTTTTTTGAAAATGTTTAGTGTTGCAGTATGTTCAGGTGGCCCTCATTTTAGTTTGAAGGTAATAATCTTCAGGCCAATTTCAGCCTAAGTGGTCTGACTGTCATCGGGTCATTACCACTAGAGTGATCAATTCTGGCCTTGTCTGTCAACATCATTTAAGCTGCCAACAATGTTTAACACTGCTGCCCTAAACCAAGCAGCCACACTATTTTAGCAGTTAGCAATCTAGCTGTTTACTACAAAATCGTCCCTATTTCGTTCATTATGCACAGCACAATGCATGCAAGCATCTATCATGTCCTTTAGGATCTGTTCATGCTTACACATATTTGAATGTGTCCACTGAAAAGCAGCTCTGAGCACAAACAATGAAAAACAACATAAAGCAATGATTTTAGTGAACGTAAATACACTGAACGTAAAAAATTGCCAGAAAGAATGGTATTTTCTGTTACAAATGCCAGGTGTACGTTTTTTCAAAGAAAACCCGCCCACAATGTTAACCAATCCAGAATCAGAGGTAATCTACCAGCAACACTCTAAACTGAATGAGTTGTTTATAATGTTATTCTAATGGCAGTAAGGGTACTACAGAAGATTGGTTTACAAGTAGACTGCTATTTGAACCAGCAGGAGTAAGTCCTGTCTGCTCTGAAGTGAAGACATCACACTGTCCTGTTGCTTCCTGTGTGTGTGTGTGTGTGTGTGTGTGTGTGTGTGTGTGTGTGTGTGTGTGTGTGTGTGTGTGTGTGTGTGTGTGTGTGTGTTTATTTCTGGACACGTGAGATGTCTGAACAAATGAACAAGAGAAAACAAGACATACCCTGAGAGAACCAGAGCAGCTGAGTCTAATCCAAAGATGAACCACAGACCAGCCAACACATCATAAAATTCACCCCCACATGTGTGTGCACACAAACACACGTACACAAGGAGATAAATAACAGCTCATGTAAAGACACATTTTATGAGTGCTACAGTATCGTACAGTTTACTGAAGGTTATTAGAGCAGTTGTACAAGAAGGTAAAAACATCTATATTGATCCTGGTTGAAACCAAACAAACTAGAGTAACTTCAGCGGTTTGTGAGTAACTTACCCTTTTCCACACAAGTCTGCTTGCTGTCAGTCCTTCATACCAGCCAGGCAAGTTTGTTCCTCAGATTTCTTTCGTCTCAAGATGGAGGCAGAAACTCCCCAAACACAATTCCTTTGCTCTGAGTTTTTGTTATTTTGAATCTACCAGGTCCAGTTCTACTTCTCTCCTGCTGACTGCTGCACGAGCTGCTAACGTGACAGCATTGATAAACAACCAGTTGGAATGAGAGAGACCACAGGTGCATGCTGACTCCCAGCGAATACAAACAGAGAGAGGCATAGACAGCTCAGAACAGCACAGTATGAAACGGCTCCTTTGCCAGTGGTTATGTGGGACTCCAACCTTACTCCACCTCCCTCCCTCCTCCATGCACCTCCTCCCCTCCCTCTCTACCAAACAGCTCCAAGACAGAAGAGAAAAGGAAAGTTGCCCTTTCTTAAACTTTTTCTTCTTTCAGTTGTAGGTATAATACAGAACCCCTTTTATTCTTGCTTGCATAATTCACAGAACAACAGGAACTTCTACAAGAAAGTTCAAGTGGAGCAACACAGTTTGAATTGTTTTTCTCATCCACAGAATATAAAAAGAGAAAACGCTTTTTCTTGACAGAATGACCAGAAGCATCGGCACTAAGTTAATATTTTCAACCATTATAGTGATAAGAAACCCTGTCAGCCATTCCTTACCAATATTGTTATAGAGACCAGTGGTACAGAGGCTAGAAGGGAGATGAAAGCACTAATGTTTTACATGTTTATCTTTAAGTTAATCATTTATATTCTCCTTCTGATTAATTGAGTCAAACCTATACAGAGTCGAATCATCACAAAGATACCCTGAAATGCAAAATGTAGTTCTGTGTAAGTAAAGGTCATGGCAACGTCATATCTTTCATATACAGTGGCAGTGTTATAAAGAACACATTATTTTAACATTAAGAAGTTTCAGAAAAACCCACAGTAGCGTGGTTAGTATAATGTGAACCCAGCAGAGCAAGCAAAAATGACTATCACGATGGTGTTGAAATTTCAGTTTTATAAAGAGAGGCAAGGGAAAGGGCTCATAAAGGCTTTTGGAAAGATCACTCACTGCCTCCATAGGGGAAAAGCTGGCCTCAAACAGCCCGTGCCAGCTCTCACTTAACTAATTAAAAGACCGAGTAGAGTTTACAGGGGTCAAAGCAGAACTTAAATGTTTTCCAATATCAAAAAAGTCTCTCTTAGTTGTTACCACTAACAGTGAATATTTTTGTTGAATATTTTTGAATAAAAATCCATTCAGAAAGAGTCAAAGAAATGTGCCCTCAACAGTGTTACTAGGTAAATTATACTAGTATGGCTTCTCTGTCTATGTACCTGAGTAGCTGGCCATTATTGTGTATTTGCTGCAATATATTCACATCCCCCTGTTCTTGTACTCTGAAGCCAGTTCAGCCCATCTTGAGAATATGAAGTGGCCTCACAGACTCGTGACAGCTGTGTCAAACCCTATTAGTGGTCAGGATGACTAGCTCTGTTGTTCAAAGGCAAACGGCTACATCTGAAATCACAAAAACCCTTTCAATATGATATATTTATATTTCACTGCTATTAACAGGGCTTTCCACAAGGATATGTAGCCAAGCAGTGGGGAAAGTAGCAGCTATGGGGTAAAATGGCCGTAAAAGCCCAAATGTAGTGGCCTCTGGCACATTTGAATGCCACTATTCTATCATATACACTTATCGTAATTACTACATGTTTTAATGAGTGTGCCTACCAGATTGGAAACATGAGGTCATTTTTGTAAAGAAGAATAGCTTTTAATTAGGGATGTCCCAATCAAGTTTTTTTGGCTCCCAATCCGAGTTATTGAAGATAGGGTTAGGGTCCTGATCAAATACCTGTATTTTTCTAGATAATACAGGTGCACATTGCACACTTCAGGTACATTAAGGTTATTACCATCAACCCAATGTATATGCTTGTTTAAATATCTCAATCAACTGTTACTTCATGTTTATTAAATACATTTCAAAATAACAAGCCCTCTGTAACCTTTTTGTTTCTGCCTGGAGGGAGTTTCTCTCTCCAGTGTTTGTTGCTGTAGCGTATTCTGTTAAGTGTATTTTCATTAATTCCAATAATTACTGATTGGCTTTTTGGTTACTTTGGTTACACTTGTGGTGGCGTGTTGAGTGTGGCTGCGTTGGCTCTCTACCGCTGTCTCTCGAGCCGGAGCAGCCCCAACTGCTGCGGCATTTCACCGTGGGTGGGGCTGCCTCTGCTCACACACACACACACACACACACACAAGAGAGAGAGAGCTCAGCAGAGTGGAGAGGCAGAGAGAGTTGACGATGGCTGCATCATGCATGAAAGCTTCACAATTAAAAACAGAGATGGCTCGCCTGTAAAAATGTGAAAAGCAGCACTTTGCTTTCTGTGGACTTTTTAATGCTTACTGCGTAATCGTCAAGTTGCTGCCACCAGTGTTTTCCAGTGTTTTCCGAAGCAGCTAATATTTGTCAAACACTGAAGATGACTCTCACAAGCACACAACCTCACACACACACACACACATTCATATTGAGCATGTGGGGCCGGACTGATACAGAGAGAAAGGCACGTTTCTATATTATAATGCTCGTATGGTTTTGAAGCATATGTTAGTGGTCATAAAATGTAAATGCATAGCGAACCGCAACATGTTAATGAAAACAATTTTATTAGAATAAAAAATTTAATTAAAATAATAAAGCAGCCAGCTGGACTTATTAGTTATTATTAGTTAGCTGTTAGGCACCCAACGCTTATGGAAAGCTCTGCTAATAAGTAGGCCTGTCATTCTTTCAAAAGATCATCTTTGAACAAATGAGAACCATCACTTAATAAAACCAATGTATCCTACACAGAAAAATAATAGGCAACTATTTTTGTAATGGATTCATTTTTTGAAGGTCCAGTGTGTAGGATTTAGTGGCGTCTAGCCGTGTAATTGCAGTTCACAATGCCGTTGCTTCACCCTCCCCTTCCAAGCACAACAGAGAAACTACAGTGGCCTCATCTAGAGCCAGTGTTTGATTTGTCCCCTATGGGCTACTGTAGAAACATGGCGGTTTAACATGGTGACTCATGACATCTGTAGATATAAAAGGCTCCTTCTAAGGCAACAAAAACATTTCCATATTCAGGTCATTATACACTAAGGAAACATAAAAGCTTAAACCATAATGATTAGTTAACCAATCGATTAGTCACTCGACAGAAAAATAATCAACTATTTTGATAATCCATTAATCATTTAAGTCATTTTTCAGGCCAAATGGCAGAAACTTTTGTTTTCAGCCTCAAATATAGAGATTTCCTGCTTTTCTTTGTTTCATATTAAACTGAATATGTTTGGGTGCTGGACTGACAAAACAAGACATTTAAAGAGAAGAAAATGGAACAGACATTTCATAAACCAAACGATTAATTGATTATTTTCATTATCAAGCAATCAATTCATCATTTAGAATATCAATAATGAAAATAATTGTTATTTGCAGGTCTAGTACCAGCGCCACCTCCTGTGCAGACCACAGGAGCGCACTGCTATCAGGTGCAGTATTGGGTGAAGGTCACCCATGTTTTGGTAGTGCTCAGAGCTCAACACAGAATCACTGCAGTTATGTGCGTAAAATGTTTGCATGCTGCACAAGCGTCAACACAAGCTGTTATGCAGACCGTGTAGACTGTTCGATTGATTAAAATAGAAGTGTTTCTGTTTAGTCAGACGCGCGTGAAAGGGAGGACTGAAAAAGGTGGCTGAAACACTAGACACGCCGTAAGGCAGTTGCATTTTTGAAAGTTTGCAAACAGCCTTATGTTCATCCTTGATTTTTATATTTTTGGTGTTGAATCCAAAATGCGTCTCAGATGCATTTTCATGACAGCACTGGTTAAGCAAAGCTCAGTAGTTTCCTTCGTTCTTGCACTTACAAAGAGAAAAGAAATAGCCTAGTTTGCTTATTTATTTTATATGGAGGGGGGATTTTTGCTTTATTTGACAGTGACAGTACAAAGAGACAGGGAAGAGAAAGGAGATGACATGCAGCAAAGAGTCGGGGACAGACTCAAGCCCAGGCCACTGAGATAAGGACTCAGCCTTGATACTTGATACGTGATACACGCTCTTCCAGGTGAGCTACTGGGGGCGCCCTGTAACAGTGCAGCCTTGTACTTAAATACTGTGAAGGTTTAATATGGACAGATCTTTACAGATTAAATATTTCATTTTATGATTTCATAATTGGCCAAACAAAGATCAGCTATCAGCTATCCACATAAACAAGGTGGGTTTTAGCATCTTTCAGTTCATTGTCTTGGTTTTACAGCCTTCAAGTCAACTGTACCGAGTAACTCCCCTCGCTCTCGTCAACTTTATTTCCAGCAGCAGCATACAGGAGTTTTCAGCCAAAATGCTCTGATTAATGCTCTGTATGTTACCTGCCCAACAACAGCCACTGAGCATCTAGAACCTAGAGTCAGATATTTCCCACAGGAGATGTTAAATACCAAAAAGTGCTAAAAGGAGAGTGAATATTGTACTTAAATCCATCCAATGGCCTGAGACATGACTCTAAATTAATGAATAATGTTGTTCTGTGTCAGCTGGATGTGTAAATAGGCAACTGTTTGCAATTAAAATCACCCTCAACTTTATACAGTGATAATATGTCAATGTGTTTACAGCTTGTTGCACTGCCCCCAAGTGGCCTGATGCAGGTGTAAGTAAAAATACCAAACATTTTCTCTCAGCTTTTGTTCCCTGCCAGAACACAGCTGACAGACATTGGTTATTATCAAGATCAAACTGCACTGCAGTGACATATCTAAAACAAAGTAAGAAGCCGGATTTTAAAAAATTAATCATATTTGTGGGTCAACAACATATTCTCAAGTAGTAATACAGACTCTTGCATTTTTAGTGTGGACAAATGGCAAACTGTAAACAGAAAATACAGAGTATGATGGACATTTTGAGCAAAAATTGAAAAAGTATCTTGTGAATTAATTTATTTATTCAATGCCAGAATATTAAAACATATTGAATTAAGCAATTAATAAACTGATGTTATCATTACTATACATGAGGGACAATTTTGATCCCGCTTACACCATATACCAACCAAAAATCTCATATGTATCAAATTAAAAGCATCAATTGTTCATTAAATCCTCACATACAAAAAATTCCTAAATTCTGTCTCACTGAACACCTACCTGCTGCCTGCAGGGATCATGGTCTCCACTGCCACTGCCCTCTGACCACAGCAGGGAAATGCCTGGATGAAGTGTAAACCAATATAACCAGTAAGCGCCAAGCTTATTTTACTTATACTATTTTAAGAGGACTACATATACCATATACCACCCACTCTTTTTAAGGAATCTTTTTCCAGGAAATTTTTTCATATAATTCTCCAGCAGGCCTAGTATTGACTTCTTCTTTAACGATGCAGGGTTCATGATGAAGTGTAGGTGGTCAGCATTGGATTGCTTTTGTGGCTGTCACTACAGCCAATTTTTCCTCTGCAGTCTCTTGCGAATTCATTACAGTTTACTACAGTTTTCCTCTCACCATAACGTTATGGCCACAGCCCAGAAACAGTTCAAATTAAATAGAATTTATTTTGTCTTATAGAAGATTCGGGGATGTGAGTGAGGAGCTAAAATACAATTCAAGTTTTCCAGGACATCATAAATTATTTTTGATCAAATTCCATGTGTTTCCATGACTGGAAAACGACTCTCTAAATTTCCAGGTTTCCAGGGAGCGTGGGAACCCTGATATACATGTTTTACAAGACATGTTTATGTATCAGCTGTTTCAGTGGGATTAGTCAGCAGCAATCAGTCATTTGGCTCTACAAGCAGGTTGTTGAGGGACAAATCTCAAAAGAATCATTCACACTAGCTTTGAGTTTATATTATTAGCATCAAAAAAATAATCATTACAGTAATAACTTTCAGATGCTTTTATCTTTTAACATGCTGTACCTATCATTTGGTGTTTTTTTTTTTTAAACCAACCAAAGTAGTCTCAGCCAAAGTAATCAGGTTGGGTGAAGAAGCACTAAAATAATACAGAAACTCTGAAACTCTGTATTACAATAAAATATTTAACCCTCAAAATTAGGGGGGATAAAATTAAGAAACTCTAGACTTTATTGCACATAGCCCTCATTTTAAGTTCAGAAACTGCAGGCTCAGAGTTCAAGTTGGCCTGTTTGTCGAGTACTATAAAGGACTGAAACTGGTATTGGTCATCACATAGCACCATCTAGTGTTTGTCTCAAACTTGTGTGATCACTGTATGCATTGTACTGTATGTGCAGGAGAGAAATCTTGTAACTTGAGAAGAACTCAATGTATATAGGGGATTATTTGCTATAGTCATTATGTAGTCTTATATTTATTTTATAAACAACTGCTCTAATACAGTTATGTTAATACATATGATGAACAAATATCCTGGGTAGACTTTCATTGTGTCTATAGTCTGTTAAAGACCCCGCTTACCAAATTAGTCAATTAAATTATCTATAATACCAGACACCACTGTTTTACCATTTTATTCAGGCTACTGTATTGAGTTGACTTCTTTCATAATAATGTCTGAATTAATGATAGTGATGCTTCATACATCCACAACATTATACTGATCAACTTTTTCATCTTTTGAAACAAGTACATCTAAAAGGATTGCAATATAAAGATAACACAGTCTAAACATGACTGGCTGTTCAATTAGAAAACTGTATACTGTTGAAACTGTTTGCATAAATTACACAATTAACATCATGAGCAGATACTTTAACACTGTGTTGATACTGATGTGGTTTAGCTAACTTCTTGTGCCCATTGGCTACAAATGCTCCACTGTGTGGCCATAACGCTAACACTGTACTAGCATATAAGTTACAGGTGCATCTAATTTAAGTTAACTTACCTCTGATATCTGGAAAGGATAACTCTCTGCCTGTCATTAACAGTAACATTACTTTCTTGTTGACGCTTTCATAATAAAATAATTAAGTTAACGTTTTCAGCAGACTACAACCGCATTAAGAGCAAACAACAAACACCTCACCTGAGTTAGCAGGATGACTTTAAGCTCAAGAGTCTCACTGTTAGCTTTGTCTGTCTGGTAGTTTGTCGCGATGGTTAACGCTTTATACAATGTTCATAACTCATTTCTATATTCCTCGAAACATTTCAAGCTTCCTGAAGTAGCAGTGATTCCACACCAGGGTCCAAACTGTTCAAATAGTGCTTCTTGAAGGGATAAAGTATAAACACTCTGAACATTTATATATATACTATTTTTTAATGGACCTTCAGACCTGTTGCCATGGTTGTCTGCAGGGTCTTAATAAGTCTACTTTCTGAATTTTCGTCCTTAAAATTTCTTAAATATGTTTTCATTTAATCCACATTGATTGGATTAATGAAGTTAATGTCTCCTGTATAAAAAAAAAAGGCTTGCTTTTAAATGTGTAATAGGGGAACATGTGTATTGATCATGATGTAACCACTACAAAATAAAACCAATATTGAATCAATACAGATTTTCTTTAATATTTTTATGCCAGTATGGATGTGAAATAGGTCTTAAATAGTCTTAAAATTCTTAAATTTAACCAGTTGAATAAGCACAGGTATATTTAATACCATTTAGGGTGGTCCTGGCTAACTGGAATAATAATTGTACCTGCCCTTATTATTCCAGTTAGCCAGCACACCAGCAAATTGTGCTGTGAAAAAAGTAATATTCATTCATATGTCTGTAATCCTTTTCAGTACCGCAATACTGTGTCACTGCAACTAGTGCTTAGTAAATAAGTTACAGTCAATAAAACATATTTAGTAGTGATGTTTTTCTCACTTTACACAACACACAGCACAGGCTGATATGTATAAGCCTTCATAACTCCACAACCTTGCTTTATTCATTTTTGTGAGTATCAATAGATTTTCTGAGTCATACAACAAATAATTGGTATAGGCAGTAAGCGCTTAAATCATCTGACATAACCAAAAAAGAAAAAAATGAAATGTGTTTAAAAAGCAGTGTGGTTATCAGGCTTACAGAGAGTGCCGGGGTCATGATAAACAAGCAGACGTTGTAGTCAATGCACTTGGACAAAATTCACAACAGCAGTCTGTGTTCCATTATATTCATTTTCTTTAGTCATATTGACTTGGTTGCTCCTGTGGTGGTAATCAGAACTGCATTACAGGAAGGTCAAAGGATTCATGTGCGCAAATAAATGTTAAATTAGAAGAATCACTTAATGATATGACATTTACAGGAATGAAACAGGCATCATAAACTACCCGCCTCGACACCAGAAACAATGAAGATCAGTTCTCCCCTGTCTGATTGTCAACATTTCTTTTGTGCTTTATTCGCAGGCGGCTTGTAGCTACAAGTTAAATAATAATTTGACACATGGAAAAATATTTCTCTCTCTCATCTAATTCTTGTCACAGTGTGTGAGAAGGCAGCAGAACTCAAAGTCTTCACCGCCCCGCCCAAGGAGGAGCCACACGCAGAGCTTCATGACACCTTCTCGTGGCATAAAACCTGATTTATCAGCAACCATCAAGAAATATCCAGATCTCTCGTAGCACCTCCACATTTTGGGCTAAGAAGTGGAACGTTGAGGGTAACTCAACAAACTGCTGCCCAAACTGTAGCTCATTTTTTCTGTGATCTCCACACAAACTGTATTTTCTCATTCCTGAGCAGTGTGTCTGAATACCTTTGCTTCAATGAATGCACTTCTGTTCTTTGCATGATGTCTTTGACGGAAGCCAGACGTGTTTTGTTTTGTTTTGTTTTGTTTTTTTGGTAGTTGGGCTGGATTTATAGCAGTGTGGGTTAAAAATAAATATTTATTTTACAGCAGTTCAGGGCTGCCAAAAGATAGAGAGCCAAACAGCATGTCCTTCAGTCATGCATTAGCATTTCCCTCCAGTTGAAACTGTGATTGGGTCCATGTGTCAGAGGCAAGATGGGTGGGTCGACCAGCTGCCACACCCCGGTCTCTCCCATTTCTTCACAAGCACAAAACCCCAAGTAAGGAATCTGCTCAAAGAGAAGACAGATGTTGCATGTTATCAAAGAAAAATAAAATGCGGAGAAGATAGAAATAAAAGGAGCGACATAGCTTAAGCAGTAAACTGACCTTTCGGACAACTTGGACAAAGTCCTTGGAGTTTTGGGGGCTGAGGCCTTGTATCTGGCGAGTGCAAGCCTCCAGGGAGGAAGCATGGGCCACAATCAGGACCGTGTTTCCTGTGTGAATGAGGTAGAGAGCAGAGAACCACATTCCACGGATACCATTAGCTTTCTATACTGTTTATAGGCACTCAGTAGTCACTAATATGCAGCTTGAAATGTTCTTTGACACATCAACTTTTATACCGTCATCCAAATTGAGCATTTTGACCCGTAAGCTAAAATACAAAGTGCTTATAAGTTAGCTCAAAAACTACATCTTTTATACGTGTTTAAACCCTGGATACATGTTTTCAATGCTGCTTTACCCAAGTTCTTGGAGTCTGCCAGGATCTCTCGGGTGACTTGGAAGCTCCTGCTGATGTAGGTGTCATAAGACTCTGACACCGCCAACTTACTTATGGGAATATAAGGTCTAGGGACAAAACGATAGATAGAGAAAGTTACAGTACACTGCATCAGCATCACAGGTAAAGGCATATCGATGTTTCAGCTGGTTGGTGTTGCGGTCTACCTGTATGTTGTGTCCACACTCAAGTTAGCAGTGACTAGCTCAGCTGGGGGGATCCAGTTGGGTAAACATGTGCCTGAAACCCACTTGGTCCATTCAAACAATCCGGGTTCCACACGGATCTTTGTCTTTCCCTCCTGTTGGAGACCTGACACAGAGTGAAACAGACTGTCAGAGCGGGAGATATGTCTTCTCAGGTCACACCGTGAATCTACTCTGTCAGGTGATTTTCTTTTTTTTACCAAAAATCTATAATACATCTTCCCATGAAATGGAAGCCTAGGTGCAATAAGAGTAATTGTGTTGGTCCCATGTGCCCCAACTCAATAACATGACAGGACTTTAAAGTTTAAAGGTTTTGACAAAGAAGATATTTCTAAAATGGAAAAAACAAGGACAGTAAGCTGAATGTGTAAAAGGATGAGAAAAAGAAGTTAGACCTCCTGTTAAACCTCTTTCTTTTCCTATCTGTTTTGTCTCCTAATGATGTCTCCAGGTACCTCAGAGGTTTTGTTTTAGTTCATTAAAGCTTTATAGAACTAGACAAATCCTGTTGAGATCCGAGCTACACTGAAGGCTTCAAACTGAAAATCCAACATTGTCATACAGCGTTAACTTTTTGAAATGCATCATAACGTGCCAGCTGAAGAACCTGAATAGATGCTGTGTAACTTGTCTGTGACAGTGATGAGGGTGATGAAGATGAGGTCCTACCCTGCAGAATGTGGTGAGCAGTCTGAACGCAGCGAAGAGAAGGAGAGCAGTAAACAAAGTCTATTGTTGTGTGGCTTTCCAATAGGGCTTCACCTGAGATGGATCAAAACACAGAGGAATTCTATGTTATATAGTTTGGTAAACATAATAGCTACTGTATTTGATGACCTAAATCCACGTACGTATCGATGTAAACAACATCAACTGTATATAAAACGTACTGACCTACAAGACGGGCCTGGGTGGAGCCAAACACAGTAATTGGACAATCTTTATCATAGTCCCGGTGACCTCCGCTTCTAGCTGGCAGGCTGGATGGCATGTTGAGATTGGAGCGAATATATCGGCCTACAAAAACACAATGAGAATCTTACAGATGATGGAAATACTGAAGTCATTAGTGTGTCATTAATCTATTCTAGCATGCAAACCTTTGGAGTCAAAGCACTGTGTGACCCAGTGTTTCCCAAACACCACATCCATCCTCTCCCCATGGCGACACACAAACAGTCTCATCTTAGACAGGGAGGACTGACAAGCCGGCCTCGACACCTGAGATAAAGATTCATTTTAAATTGTGAGACACGTTGCACAACAGATGGTCTCTTCACTTCTGCATACGGCCTCATTATACATCCTCTCTTCGCCATAGGAAGAGTCACATAAAACAAGAATGCCGTACCTGCATAGGAGGACAGAGGCCAGTGAGACTGGGAGCATCCATAAAACTGTCAAGCAGACTGTCATTCAGCTGTCCATCAAACAATAACCCACCAACAGTGGTGCCAGCGTTAGAGGGAGAGGCACAGTTGAGAATAGAGTGAGACCTGAGGAACAGATAAACACATACAACTTTATTCATATAGCACTAGCTACAAAAGAAGATGTACACGCAATCAACATACAGTGTACAGCATACAACATATGACCTTAGAGGAACATAGGAAGCTACTGAGAAAGCCGTATGACAGTAAAACATAACCTGTTCAAGGAGTGTACTAATGTGGGGTTGAAGTTAGTCAAGAAGTCGACTGAGAAGATGATTTATTTTATTGTATTTCTCTTTAATCTTTGCAGTCAGTCAAGAAACGTCCCCTTATTTGTGTGTATTTCTGCTTAAGCTGTAAAAAATAAATAAAAAATAAAGCACACTGAGGGGATTTGTGGATTGCCAGTTTGAGATAACACCCACTGATGTCTTTGTGCAGTGATTGCAAAAAGGACTTTAAAGGGCAATCGGTGAAAATCTGCTACTGTTGACTGTGCTGTTACTGCATTGTATGCGCGCGTTGTTCTGGCCTCCCAGCACGGCTCCTTATGTTTCATGGAATTTCTTTAATGCAAAAAACACATGATGCTGGACTTCGTCCTTTGCTGAATATCGTGGTTTTTCTTCCTTACCCATGGACCACCCAGGTATCAGACTCATCACCACGGCTGACATAGTTCTCAGGCAGCAGTCCCGACAGCCCCGTGCCCAGAGAGGTGCCGTACACCCAGCCCTCACTGGCACTGGTCTGCTCCACCGGAGACATGAAGATAAAGTCTCCCGGCATCAGCTCCAGCTCATCATCATTCTGAGGCACATACGGGTACATGACTTGCAGTGTCTACAGGGGGCAGATGGTTAGCAGCCATTAGACACAAAGGTACTGAGGAGTAAACACCTTACATCTATTTATTATGATTTTGCATGTCCAAAAATCTACCTCGTGATTGGCAAACCGAATATCCCGGGAGAAGAGCACAGCCAGCCAGTCACAGCCTGAAGCCACGTCCACGCTTTTGGCCAACTTCTCCAAAATTGGAAGGTGACTGACTTGGAAGTGGTATGCCAACGTGACATGAAGTTGTTTCTTATGGGGCTCGACATGAACATCTGGGCAGAGGGAAAAGAGAGAAATGTGCACACCAGATGTTTATATACATGTATACTCATGACAATGATGTAGTGTTCAGTTTACATTCTTTTAACTATAGCGGTCCTCCACTGACAGAAACATTTAAATATGCTGAAAATGCATCACCTGGTGACACTGCTCTGCGATTTACTGATTACAGTTTCTTCACATCATTCTTGATCTATCTGATCTGTGTCTACATGACCTACAGGACAGCGTTCATGTATCCTGTGGTTTCCATCAAAGAGACAAAGGGAGCTCAAACCTGCTTTAGCTTCTGCTTCAGTAGCAAAATCGGCAGCGAAACCCTTCAGCACCTCCGCCACCTGCTCCTCCACAAAGAGGCCAATGAAAGTTGAGGAGGTATAGAGCTCCAATGGGAGGGGCATGGGTATACGAGCCTTCCACTTGGCCACGGTGGCCTGGAGAGCGTCGGACAGAGCCTCCACCTTCCCGTCGGCACACTGAGAGCGGAGACAACAAAACAGGAAATGGAGTTGAAATGGAGTTAAATAATAGAACTCATATGTCCCAGTATTGTCATATATATTGCATTGAACTGCATTCAAAGAAATAACCTGACTCCCTCTACATGAGCACTGACACTCACCATAAAGAACTGGCAGAGGGTGATGTGGGGGAAGATGTTGTGGGCCTTATTTTTCCCACAGGAGAGGCGGGACTGCTGCCAGAAGTGTGAGAGCTGCTGGAGCAGCGGCCCACTGGGTCGCAGATATAACACATACTCTCTGGGCAGAGGGTCATCCAAGAAGGGGTCATCCACGTGGGAGAAGAGCCTGGGGGTGACAGACAAAGAAAACCCGAGGTGGGGAGTGAAAATTGGGAGAGAGGACGAGCAATGTCCAGCAGAGGGCAGCACTGTCGTAAAAGCACAGTGACACGTCAATATAATGTAAAGTCAGTGGATCTTGTGTTTACTATTACAAGGAACATTGCAGTTTAATAACAATGGGTGAGCATGTGAGTAAAAATGTGTGTCTGCTCTCACCAGTCACAAGCTGCCTGGACGTTTTTCCCTCCTGTCGAAACCAGAGCTTTCAAGCTGCAAAGAAAAAGAGAAAGGGAGATCAAAGCACAGTCACAAAATCAATAGTTTCTCTTCCGGGCCGTGTTTATTAGGAGGAGATGGCTGCGCTTCCACATGACAATGAACAAAGACTAAACATCCCCAGAGAGCAGTAAAATAACAACAAGCTCACAATAATTCATAACAGGAGTTCATTATTCATACCAGAGGTTCATGAGGCTGAGCACTGACGCAGATTTCAGAACGGCCGTATTCTCTGCTATGAAAATATTTAAAAATCTGGTTCTATCATCAATAAAGTACCACTCAGTAGATGCAAATCCACATGTTCAGCGCACCCTGGGTTTAACATGAAACTGAATCTGAACATGATTCTGATTCAGTCAATGGTTATATAACGACCCCTGTGTTATAGGGGAGAGGGTCTCTGGCTGCTCACAGTCTTGGTTAACAATTTAGTTCTATTTCTATTTCTAATTAATTCCTTGTGTTTTAGTGTAATGGACATGAAAAAGGGGGAATAAAGGCTGAGTTCACGTCCTACGACATGATTTATCTGTGTCATTTCATAAACCATAACTTTTTTTTCTGAAACAAGAGAGAGCTGATTGCATGATTACTCTTGAGTACTCAAAATCTAATTAGTGTCTTTTTATAAAGCCTCTGGTATTGCGGGCCGCCTCTGAAGGGATTCGCTGATCCGAGATTCATCAGCTCTGAGAGGACTGACACAGAGCCTCTGGATGTGACTCTAATTCTGACGGTTCACAGTAACAACACAGCCTCTGCCCCTCTTTCAGTCAATCAAAACATCAGTGACATGCTTTATTTTTATTAACTGGACTCTTAGAGACTTGTCTGCAAAGATTTGGCACACATTAGCACAAGCGTTCCACATAATATTCCTAAATTAGTCAGATGAGAGTTACTGAAAGTATGTTACTGAGGTCCAAACAGTGAGGTGTCTGTGAATTCAGTTTAAAGCTTCTCTCTGCTCTAACAAAGCTCTGTACAACACTTGCCAAAGACTCATCTTTTGATTGCTTATGTTTGTTTATCTGCTTTTGTGATATAAATGGAATCCCTGATATATCCCTGAAATAACTAAAGTAAGCAATGTCTGGGTACACAGCTCCTTTCATTATTAAGCAACAGGAAAATGCGCTTTGAGTGACCGTGCATCGTCTCCACGGCATTTCATCTAAAAACTCAACGACAAGCCACACAGTCCCTTCTCCTTTCACTTGCTCTTTGTGCATTGTGTGAAAATAAAAGCATAGCCCCATGTCAATGAGAATTAATCAGCCATTCACTAACTTAGATAAACAAAAACAAAACCTCCATAATCTTATCTTATAATGATGCCACGTCCATAAAGGCAGCACGGCTTGTCACCGCTCTGAATAGCCATTCCAATGAGCATAAAATAACAAACTGTAACTGCCATTAAAGCAGGACGTGTTGTTTTCTGCAGCCACTGTTTGATATAGATACAGACATGTCGCCGCGTCTCTGTGTGGCACGACGTTGACAGCGTGCGTTGTGCCACTCTAGCGTTCAAATTCAATGAGCTATTTTTACATTTGTCCCACTGAGAGGGTCCTACATACGGCAAAGTCCCTGAACCCTGGGGGCAGCGTGCCCTGACAGAGCACAGCAAGCAGGATGGGAACGCCAAGGCTACAGCATCGTAACAGATGGCTCGCGCAGACCCACTACGACACACACACACACACACACACACACACACACACACACACACACACACACACACACACACACACACACACACACACACACACACACACACACACACACACACACACACACACACACACACACATAGAGAAATATATGCAGAGTGAACTTGAATTAAATACAAGCTACAAAGACAGGCTTCAGTTCATTCACCTGAACAGGTCTAACTGCTGGTATATGACAGTTGTATGACATTTTACCTAATTGATCCACTTTAACAGTAAGAGCCACATCTGCACGTAGAGAGGGCTTAAGATAGAGAGTCATTTGCTGGCTACAGTCGTCTTATTCAGAGATTGCACCTGGTGCTGTGTGTAGGAGGAAAAGAAGGGGATTTTCTCTCAGAAGGCATGATGGGATTACAAGCAGATGTGACTGAGACGTCACAAAATCCAATCCAGGCTAGAACATTGAATTGCTTGCTTCTTATCTCTGTGGTATTTTATAAGAGTGAACCTGTGTGACATGAAATAATAGAAAAGAGTCTTGCAGAGAGGATATAAGGTTTGCTTGAATTTAATCAGCTTTTTTTTAGGCTGATGAAATGACTATAAACCCTGTTCCAGGTATAAATTATAATAACAGTAATGTCTAAAAGAAAAAAATATCCTTTAGTCTCTTTCCAAAATGTAATGCAGAAGGCTTTAAAAAAGGTCCAAAGGTAGGATTTAGTAGATCATGCTTCACCCTACCCTTCCAAGTGTACAGTGGGTTTGGCTTGTTAAAAACTGCATTGTACTGTCTCTGCCAAAACTTGAAAGTTGTCACAAAATACAATTAAAAGATGATAGTTGCTTCTGATCCTTCAATATCTTCCAATTAGAGTATGATCCAATATTGTTTTTTTTTCCTAACTGAGCTGCACAAAGACTAATTACAGTCGTGCCCGTGGGAAGAAAACATTCAGATTCATGAAAATTAGATTCAAATTTGTTTAAAATGTTTGACAGCAGAATAGCTCTGCTTTGACAAAATATAACCTACACTACCTTTGATCGGTTTCTGTATTATTTTTAGTACCCTAATCAATCCTTCCATACATTATCTATAGCACCTTATCCTCAGCAGGGTCGTGGAGGGCTGGAGCCATTCCCAGCTGAGGCCATACAGTATAATAACCTATGGAAAGTCAGTATCACCTTTCTCAGAGAGGAGGGCTGGAAGTCAGACACTCTCTCTTCAACTACAACAAAATACTAAAAGCCAGGTGCAGACAACAAATAAAAGTAGTACTTTTGTTGTTTGTCCATTGGCTCATAATCTGCCCATTTGTAGTTAGAAGTACCTGCCATCTCATGTTCCATTGAAGACGTGCACTGATCAGACAGGTCAGACTCGATGTAGAAACAGCGAGATGGAGTGCAGTGCCAACCTGGCACCAGTGCGCTCTGGGCTCCCACAGACCGTCTGCCCACCGCGACTCATTGCACTCTCTCGCATAAAGCAGATTATTCTGGTTCAGCCAATTTCCTTTTTTACGTCTGCCTCTCACGTTGATTGATTGCTTTGTTTTAATCCATAGAGACGATCATGACAATAATCTTTGGGCAAATTATGCACACGCTGAGCTCTTCCTGCACTGTAGAAAACGTAAATAAAAATGTTAAAGTAATTTGTTTCAATAAAACAGAATTACTAGTAGTAATTTAAGATGTATCTCTAGCGAATCAATCATGTTTGGCTAGTTTGAGTTTTAGTCTTTTTTTTCTGGATTTGTTGAATACACCATTATTTTTCTGTATATCTGGTCATGTTCTCAGTGCAGAAAAAAACTAAGGCCATGTTCTGCTGCGTCCGTTTGAACCATTGACAGTATACATCTAAATTTGTGTATACAATTTAAAAAAAACAAAAGCATATCATTCTTAACCAACAGACTGCAGTCGAGACAGCAGGAAGACATCTGGCCTGGCTCAGACTGAAGTGACAAACCAGAAGGAAGTCGTAGTAAGAAGTTTGCACTTTCACAAAGTACCATGTGTACCGCTTAAGTGCAATAATTTAATTTAACTGCTAATTTCTGCTAATGTAATTTATCCACTGTATAATAACACAATGCCATAAACAGTCCTATATATTTATCTATATTTATCCTCTATACAGTTCTCTACATTTATTTTATTTTACTTGAATTTTATTTTACTTTTATTCTTATCTCTACTTTCTATATTTAGCTAAGATTTTATTGTTTATCTTATACTGTATTTTTTTATACCTCTTTTATTTTATATACAAGTGTTTTGTAAGCTGCTGGAAATTCAATTTCCTTGAGGGAGTCATCCCAAAGGGATCAATAAAGTGAAATAGATACTGAACCCGTGGCTTAATAATTTAATAGTATTCAAACCATTTGTGATATTGTATGTGTTTCAGTCTGCACAATCTGAAACCTCGACTTATTTCATCCACACTTTCACTGTGTGACACTTTCACTTCCAGGGTCGCTGTTTCTGACACTGAAGGCAACGCTGCAACTAAACATTATTTTCATTGTCGATTCATCTTTTGATTATTTTCTTAGTTAATCAATTCATAGTTTAAAACCTGTTACACCGCTTTCCCAAAGCTCAATTCAATTCAATTCAATTTTATTTGTATAGCGCCGATTCATAACAGAAGTTATCTCAGGACACTTTTCAAATAGAGCAGGTCTAGACCGAACTCCTTATAACATTATTTACAGAGACCCAAGAATTCCCACCATGAGCAAGCACTTGGCGACGGCGGCAAGGAAAAACTTCCTTTTAAGAGGCAGAAAGCTTGGACAGACCACTCGGCTCTAGGTGGGTGGTCGTCTGTCTCAACCAGTTGGAGTGAGAGAAAGAGAGAGAGAGAGAGAGAGAGAGAGAGAGAGAGAGAGAGAGAGAGAGAGAGAGAGAGAGAGAGAGAGAGAGAGAGAGTCGTATTTAAAACAACTTTTTTTATCCAACTAACAATCCAAACCAAAGAAATTCAACATACTATAATAGACGACCAAGAAAAGCAAGCAAATATTCACATTTTAGAAGCTGGAATCAGAGAATTTACATCAATCAATCGATTATCAGCTGTTTTCTGTCTGTCAATTGCTCAACTTATCATTTCAGCTCCACTGATTTATCACCAAGCTATTATAATGTTAGCCAGCTATTGGTTCAGTTTACATACACACATTACAGTTGTTTATCCTCAGATTACTTGCATTCTCCAATGTTTTTTTTGTTAGATTGACTTCACTTTGTAAAGACTGTCTGGAACGTCTCCACCATCACCACAAT